GTATGGAACGAAGTGCCAAATCTTCACAGATCATAAGAGCTTGCAACATCTATTTCATCAGAAAGATCTGAATATGCGTCAGAGAAGATGGTTGGAATTGGTGAGTGATTATGATTGTGAGATTTTGTATCATCCAGGAAAAGCAAATGTAGTGGCCGATGCGTTAAGTCGACAAGAGAAAAGTGGAACGTAAAGCTACAGCTTTATTAGTTGAGTTATTACCCAGTATTCAGGAAGAGTTACGAGAATTTCAACATGAGGCAATGAAGGACGATAAGATVAAACAAGAAAGATTGGGTGGATTAATATCTGACCTAGTGATAGATGATAGAGAATTTTGGAAATTCCAGAACAGGATTTGGGTACCATGTTATGGTGATCTTAGAAAGCGTATTTTGAATGAAGCACATCAGTCACGTTTTGCGATACATCCAGGAGATTTGAGACAACATTACTGGTGGCCAGGTATGAAGAAAGATATTGCTAAACATGTTGAACAATGCTTGACATGTCTTCAAGTAAAGATTGAACACCAGCGTCCTTATGGTAAGTTGCAATCTTTAGAAATTCCGGTTTGGAAATGGGATCATATTACTATGGATTTCATAACCAAATTGCCGAAAACATCGAAGGGGTATGATGCAATATGGGTGATAGTAGATCGGTTATCTAAATCTGCACACTTCTTACCTATGAAAGAGATTCGATGGAGAGATTGGCAAAGTTGTATCTTGATGAGATAGTGACACGTCATGATGTTCCGTTATCAATTGTGTCTGATAGAGATAGTCGTTTCACTTCTATGTTTTGGAAGAGTTTTCAGAGGGAAATGAGTTCATAAATTAAGCTAAGTACAACTTATCATCCTCAAACTGATGGACAAAGTGAACGAACTATCCAAACTTTAGAAGATATGTTGAGATCTTATGTTATTGATTTCGGAGGGTCGTGGGATAGTCATTTGGCTTTGGTTGAATTTGCATACAACAATAGCTATCATTCAAGTATTCAGGCAGCACCTTTTGAGGTTTTGTATGGACGAAAATGTCGAACTCCTTTGTGCTGGAATGAAATAGGTGAAAGGCAGTTAGCTGGGCCTGAGTTAGTTCAGCAAACTGCAGATAAAATTGGGGTAATACAAGAACGAATGAAAGCGGCCCAAGATAGACAAACAGATAAACGTCGGAAGCCGATTGAGTTTCAAATAGGTGATAAAGTAATGTTGAAAGTATCACCTTGGAAAGGAATARTACGTTTTGGAAAGAGAGGGAAGTTRAGTCCAAGATATGTTGGACCATTTCCTATTATTGGGAGAGTTGGAGAAGTTGCTTATAAGTTAGAACTTCCTTTAGAATTAAGTGGAATACATGACATGTTTCATGTATCAAATTTGAGGAAGTGTCTAATAAGTCCAGAGGTGGCAATACCATTACCTGAGATTAAGGTAGATGAAAAATTATGTTTTGAAGAAACCCCTGAACAGATTACTGATTATAAGGTAAAGAAGTTACGAAACAAAGAGATTGGGTTAGTAAAGGTTCAGTGGCGTTATCATAAGGGATCAGATGCCACCTGGGAACCAGAGTCGGAAATGAGGATGAAACATCCCTACCTTTTTGCCTAAATAAAATTCCGAGACGGAATTCTTTTAAGGAAGGAATATTGTAATAGTCTGGTTATTATTTTTAGTTATATATATATATATCATCAATTAAATATATATGTATATATATATATGTGATATGTTTAATATGTGTATGTAGCATTATTTTAAGGAGAGGTCGGCTAAGTAAGCCACCCATCATCTCCTTTCTCTTTGTGTTGATATAAAAAGCTTTTTGTGAAGAAAAAGGGGACATTCACTTTTGTTACTATTGAAAGTTTCTCTGAGAATTTGAAGAAAACGCACAAGAAGAAGAAGAAGGTTTCAAAAGGTTTTGATTCTCAACTTCTAAAAGATAAGTGTATTAAGAGCTTTGGATATGAATGGTTTTCATACAGATTGATAAGCATTTAGAACTGAGTATTATGAGTTTGGTTGCATTTTATGATGATTCATGAGTAAACCGTACAAATATTACCCGGATTAAAATCTGGATAACTAAACCGGCCAAGAGATGACCAATGTATCATATAAACCGGCCAAGAGGTGACCGGATATATTCTAAACCGGCCATGTGGTGATCGGTTTATTTCTAAACCGCTTGTGTCAAAAGGTTTCAAGCCTATAAACCGGCTAAGGGGTGACCGGTATACTCTAAACCGGTCAAAAAGTTAAATGATGTATTGTCCGGTATACTCTAAACCGGACAAAGGGTGTGCGGTGTATCGTCCGGTTTATTCTAAACCGGACAACGTTATAATTGAAGTATTGTCCGTACTTGTAATCCGGACAAGGGAGTTAGTTTATTTTCAAAGTGTTTTGACCGGATTTCTAATCCGGACAAGTTTGACCGGACTTCTAAACCGGATGAAAAGAGAATGTTTATGGGAAATATTTTTGAAATGTAATGGCAGTGTAACTGCGTGTGAGATGGCGGTGTAACTGCGAGAATGATGTAATGGCGGGGTAACCGCGAGAGTGATGTAATGGC